GTGTGTGTGTGTGTGTGTGTGTGTGAGAGAGAGAGAGAGTGTGTGTGTGTGATGATAAGTTTTTTTAATGATCAACTGATTTACAAAAATCCTGTTTTGGCTTGTAAACGCTGCTTGATCTGTGCAGATTTCTCTCCTGATTCACACCAGAACACTTTTTCACTGGAGGAAGAGTTATTATGGATTATGGACTCATATTTTAGTTAAAAACGTCTTAATGCTGGATTAGTTTCAGCTTTTGTCTTCTCCAGATGTTAACTGATGGACTGGAGTGCTGTGGATTATTGTGATGTTTTTATCAGCTCTCATTCTGACGGCACCCATTCACTGCAGAGCATCCATTGCTGAGACACTGATGCAGTGCTGCATTTCTACAAATCTGATGAAGAAACAAACTCATCCTGATCTTGGATGGCCTGAGAATAAACATATTTTCAGCACACTGATGCATTTGAGGTTGCACTTGTTTTCTGTTCATGTCTTTTTGAAGACTGGCGTGTTTAAGTCTCATCGGGCAGCGCAGCAGTGACACTGACAGAGTTCAATATGTAGATGGATCCATCGCTGAAAACAAAGCAAGAGAATCAATTACATTCAAATGAATACAGTGCCTTTGAACTCAAGGCTGTTCTTCTGTCAATGTATTACATCAGCGCACAGGGATGTAAAATAGGCCCACTCCCTTCTGAATGAGTCTCAGCAGAGCTTCTAATGGTGATCACTGCAAAATCAGGACGTTAATGCAAACCATCTGACTTATTACACGACTACGTGCCAAATAAATAAACACATGGACATGAAATACTTAGTTTAAATGAAAGAAACAAGCATTGCTATTGAGACAATCATTAATTCTACAGTTATTAGACACAAATATATAATCACAGAATGACAGCATAACCACACTTTTAAAAAAAAAAAGAGTTTCTTACTCAATGTTTTGGTCTTGTTTTCAAGTACAATTATCTAATTATTCTTAAATCTTAAAAATGCATCAGAATTAAGTGAATTTATGATTAAACAAAATAAAAATATCCATCAGTGGGGTCAGAAAAATATTCTTGTTTTCCCTTTGAATTCAGTTTTTTTTCTGACCCCATTTGTTATTGTTTAAAGCGTTTAAATAATTATAGCCTAATTTAATAATGTTTGGATATTTGTACTGGAAAACAAGACATTTTTTGCAGTGTACTCAGTATTTTTGTCTTATTTTTCAGTAAAACATCTAACCATTCTTAAATAAAGATTTACTTAAGATGCAAAATAACACGTATGACAGATACGAAGTCTTGTTTTCTGCCAAAATGATCAAAATGAAGGGAGTTTATGCTTAAAACAAAAGCAATATTTCTTCTTTTTTTTAAGCATAAACTCACTTAATTTTCATAAATTTTTCAGAAAGCAAGACTTTCTGGTGTCATTTTGCATCTTGATTTTTTTTGTTTTGCAGTGCAATCATGATCTCACAAGTTAAGTAAAGTTCACAGGATATTAGTGATTTGACGACTAATGTTAGTATTTTGCATTACATGAAGCCTTTGTCTCTCTGTGTAAACACTTATAATATTCGTGTTCATCCACTGCAAATACTACACTGCTGCCCGGAGCAGGATATCCCAGAGAGAAACACTGCAGGGCGGCGAAGCCAGATAGAGCAGTTTATTTTAGCATGCAGTGTGTGTGTGTTAGTGTGTTAGTGTGTGTGTGTGTGTGTGTGAGTGTGTGTGTGTGTGTGTGTGTGTGTGT